CTGTATGAAGCTTTTCCCATGCCCCCGCATGAGAAACTGGAACTCACCCTGCTTCCCTGATTTGAACCGCTGACCTTTTGGTCAGCAGTCTTACTGGCACACTGCACCACCGGGAGCTGATAGAATATGATACATGCAACAGGAATATTGCTAGAAGAAGAAAAAAGGATGAAAACTGGCATTTTGTCATACAATTTAAAATAATTTATATTAGCAGAAAACTAAAGAAACCATTCAATGTGTCACTTTATTTGATGATTCGTAGAGGCTAATAGTGTGCATAATTTTGAGGGGGAAACCATTGAATCAATGGAACCTACTTCCAAGTAAATAATACATCAAAATTATAGTATTTCAGTACTGTCCTAAGATAACAAAGACATATAGGAACAAAAGGAATTGCTTTATATCAATATAGTCCTATTGTCCACATAAATGCAGTTCAAAAAAGTGACTTTTCCAAGTTCTGTGTTGTCATGCAGCAGCTTCTTTAAATTACAGACAAGTTTGTTTTCTAATTGTATTTTGGGATGCCAGGATTGAACCAGGCATTTTCCCCCTGGAAAATGTTTTAGGCTTTATCACCAAACTGCATTACATCACCATAGGTCTTAAGGAAAAGTGTTGTATTCAAGAGCTGCTTTTTTCTGTTTTGTAAATGTTTTCCCTATATTAAAAAAAAATCAGATCAGATAACAGCTGCCATCTTCCACTTGCGTAGGTGTATTTATTATTTATTTCGTGTCTAAAGCATTGCATGAATAAATTGGCATAAAACCGATAAAATAGAGGGAACATAAGCTGCTAAATATTTTTTGACCAAAAACGGGCAACAGCGACCGCATTGTCTGTAGCTTCAAACATTTCTTCCTCTGTGCATTAGGCAGGACATTATGGGCAGGCATACAAATGCGGAGTTGTTTGTTGTGCTTCACAGACGCATAAGGTGGATTCTTTTAGGTAGTGCCATTTTGCCAGGTTTGATCTGCCCACTCCACTTTTGAGTCTGTTCAGGGACTTCCAAGTTGCCCATTCTTGATTTGCCCCTGGAGGCAGATCCTTGTGGGAGGCCATCCTATTGGGATTTACTGGTTTAGCTGCCCAGAGGGATATTTTTGCTGTTGCTGGGGCAACATTAAGGGGAGTTGTAGTTCTCATGAAACATTTCTTTGATCTCAGTCTACTGGGAGGAGGCTGATAACCATGCAGTCAGTGGCTTATGTTGGAGCATGCAAGGAATTAGTTCATGTGTGTGTGACAACTGTAAAATTCATGAAGCTAATTGGTTGGGCAATGCCTGGGGAGATGGCTGAGCCTGGGACTTTTGGATACTGCTACATTTTTGCTCAGGCTTGAGCTATGCAGGTGCAGAGAGAAAAAGGGAGAAGCAGAGAGCAAGCTTTCATGACCTGAAAGAGTTTATCCACATGGACAAAGAAAGACCATTTTATATCTCTCATAAAAGCACATTATGTGAGTTGATGCAAGTGATCACATTGTACATATGTTGTCCTGAACTGTTAAGAATAAACTACTTGTTTTTTTATTGTTCACCTGCATGGCATATTTTCTTTCTCTGGCAAAGCAGAGTGTGGGCTGATCAAACGTGAACTACACTTGGTTTATTTTACATTACATCACAGCTTTCACAATGTTCAACCTTATTTCTCCCACAGTTGGCAGCACAGTTGACAGGGTACTGTGCGTAGGAGTAGTACCCTGTGAGATCTGTATCACTGCTTTTTAAACTGTGTGTCCCAACCACAAATGGGGTTCCCTTAGCTCAGTGTTAGGACTCATTTGGCAACCATAAAAGGTTTCTGAACGCCACCCATTTACACAACTGTTAGCAACAATGCACAAGTATTTACAGTGGACTCTGCAGAAATGGCTTCAGATGCACTTAATAAAAAGGAAAAGTAGCCAGTTTATAAGCCTTGCAAATGCTTGTTTATTATCAAAAAAAGTTCCTTTTACCTATATATCTGGGGTCACATATAATTTCTTGGGTGGAAAGAGGTTGCAAGTGGAAAAGTTTTGAGAATCATAGAATCAAAGAATCAAAGAGTTGGAAGAGACCTCATGGGCCATCCAGTCCAACCTCCTGCCAAGAAGCAGGAATAGCGCTGATCTGTATTCCTTGTCACCACCCACTGATTTCAGACCCCCATAATAACCAGTGTGAAGGTGCTCAGGAAGCTGAGAATCCTGTGCACACTGAACCAAGCACATCAAAGAGCGGGGAGAGGAGAATTTTTAAAGGAAAGTTTATTATAAGCAAGCAACCTATGTTGGCCAAACGTCTTTCAACATGAATGACATCTCCCTTCAGGCATTACAAAGTTGTGAAACAGGTCAAGTCCTATTTAGCTCAGATGTGATAAAAGAAACACGATCCCCAACACACCTCAACTAAACATTTCCCTAGGCTACTCATAAGTACAGATGGATTTCTGGTCTGGATGTTCACATGGCTGGGAGCTTCAGTGTTTTTGCCTAGTTTACTACTAAGAGGTGAGCCCTGCCTTTGCTCTCTCTTTGTTTACTCTCTAAACTTCAGGCTTTTATAACTTATCTTCAGAAGTGTCTAGATGTTTTTGTTTTCAACAAAATGGCCATCTGCCGGGCAGTGGCCTCCCATGACTTTTGATTTTTTTCGTTTCAGCAGCGACTTGAGAAACTGCAAGTTGCTTCTGGTGTGAGAGAATTGGCCATCTGCAAGGATGTCACCCATGGGATGCCCAGATGCTTTACAATTCTGTGGGAGGCTTCTCTCATTTCCCTGCATGAGAAGCTGGAGCTGACAGACGGGAGCTCATCCTGCTCCCAGGATTTGAACTGCTGACCTTTCGGTACGCAGGCCTGCCAGCACAAGGATTTCACCCATTGCATCACCGGGGACTCCATATGACTTCTGATGCTCCTCTGTGATGCTGACCCCAAAATGTAACTAAAATCCCAAGGCATCATTATTTACCTGAAGGTGAAATAATACTCCCAAACTCTGCAGTTCAGATAATGGGAAGAACCTATTATCACACCGGAAAAGCACATTTCCCATATTAGTGAAATATATTACAATGATGTGTAAATTTTAAAAAATCCTAAAAGAGGTTTATTTCTTTTTTCATTTATATCATATACACATATTTTTAAAGTAAAAGTATACATTTTTTTAATATTTTTTTTGCATGAAACAAAATTTTCATAACCATTTTCATGAACCATAAAAATAGCAAAGGTGTCCCTATCACAGCCAACCATATGGAAAAAGTTAACATTTGGAGCATTTCAAATAAAGGATGCTCTGCCAGTATTGTTTTCAAATAAGCTTTCTTCTTGCAAACAAAAAGAAAAATTAGGGCTAGTTTCTAAAATTACTTGGGTGAGCTCCCATCTGTCAGTTCCAGCTTCTCATGCAGGGACATGAGAGAAGCCTCCCACAGGATGGTAAAACATCCGGGCGTCTCCTGGGCAACATCCCTACGGACAGCCAATTCTCTCCCACCAGAAGCGACTTGCAGTTTCTCAAGTTGCTCCTGACATGAAAAAAAAGTCGCTTAGTAATTTATTTATTTATTTGCCATATTTATATACTGCCCTTCTCACTCTGAAGGGGACTCAGAGTGGGGCATATAAACACACAATTCGATGTTATACAATACATGCAATACATATCCCGCATATAAATACATACATTTAAATATTCACTGAAACATTTCAATATTAAAATAATTAAAATTACACAAGCCAATTATCTATAAACCTCTACTCTGATGTTAGTAAATAAGCTTTTTTTCTTGCTCAAGTTTGTCAACAAGGACAGCCCAGTAAAATACTGCTTGCTTTTAATCATTTTGCCTTTCCCTTTTGGAGCATGCTTAGCAGTAGGCAACCAAACAAGCTGAATTTTGGTGTATCAGTGCCCTCTGGTGGCTTAGAAAGGAATTTAAGGTAGGATTCCTCTGACATTCATTAAGAGATAATACATTTTTATATGCACAAATGACCATCTGAATAGAAAATCACCTCTGATCCAGAGTGCTATAATTGAAAAGGCAAATTCAGTGCCACTGAAATTAAACAACAAATGCTATTCTGGGCACGTCACTTTTTCCTAGTTCATATTTAATATTTTTTGCTTAGTTGTTTGCTCTGAAGTATCGCTCACTCTACCATAGCATAAGTTATGCTGTAAATATTTTGGCCTTTAGAATACTACACGGCATTGCTTCTCATATGTATGCTTACATAGATTTCTGCACTTAAGTAAATTCTTCATAACAGTGGTCATCAATATTCAAGGAATTAATGTCTGAAACAGCTGGAAGTTACACGTTTTACAACATCTGTTGATCCAAAGGCACCATATATCGGAGTTTCTCAGGCTGAGAGTACGTGACTAGCCTGGGTCACCCAGTTGGTTTCAGTGGCTGAGTGGTTATTCGAACCCAGGTTACCAGAGCTGTAGTCTAATGTTCAGATCACTGCACCATGCCTGCTATTTTCTACATGTGGGAAATTGTTCATATCCGTAGAATTGATGAGCACATTATTCCTGGGGGAATTCCTGACATGAAACAATCAGGGCCAGCTAACACCTCCCATCAAAGGATTTAGAAGAACTATATGGGTTCTCCATGCTTAGTAAAAAGAATAGTTAGGATTCCATTGGAAAAAAATTCCTGAAGGGTTCCATGACTGAATTGCTGACTTACAAAATCCTGATTGGTAGCAGTGGCTTAATCCCACCCTCAACCCCGGATCGTTGTGTTTCACTAAGTTTAACGTCAATTTCCTATAAGTCTGTGGCATCCACTTGTTTTTCAGGCATTTCTTTCTTGATCAGCTCCCTCTACAAAAATGCCTTGAACTCCATTTCCATTTTTACCACAAATGTTCCATGAGCTGCAGCTTTCCAAGGTATGTATCTTCGTTGCTTTAAATTAGGCGTGACAAACCATCCACCTTACAGAAATAGATTAATCCACAAAACAAGATTTTATATTTAAAGCACTTTAATAGAAATAGATAATATACACCTATGCTTGAGAAACACGTTTGCAGGGAAAATGACAAAGAAATGTCGTGGTCATCTATCTTTGGGAGTATCTGTTTTCTTACGTCTGGTGTGGTATCTGGAAGCAAACAAAAAACAAACAAACAAAAACAGAATTTCAGTAAACATTTGTGGATTTAGTCAGGTGCTCAGTTTAAACTATTTTCAGAAATTGAGAATCTTGAAGTTGCTGCCTGTCTATGCATTACAATTAACTTTTCATAATCCTATTTGTTATTTATTTATTTAAAACATTTATATTCCGCCCTTCTCACCCCAAAGGGGACTCATGGCAAAGCACAACATATATACGGCAAACATTCAATGCCGGGACAATGCTTTGTATACAGGCAGTCCTAGAATTATGAACAAAATAATTGGATTTTGGAAAAATGTGTGACCCATGTGTGATACGCTTCTTTATATTAAATCAGTTTGTTGATAACCTAACACAATTATTTGATTTGCACTCTTGAGTCCATTTTGCCTCCCAGTATGGAAAGTCCACCTCTTCCGGATCCACAAGATACACAAAAATTGGCAGAAGCCAGGTAGAATTTGGAAATATTACTTTTGTATTTAATAAACATTTTACGTTAAAGTTACTCTACAATTACCCATCTGTTCAGAGCATAAAAGGTTATCCCCAAGGCAACTAAGCATTTACTCATCAACAAAATATAAGCAACCCATTAAATAACTTCTATAGTCCAAATCTTTCATCACAAAAGTAATTTCTGTAGATAATCAGCATCTATGGGGGGTTGGGAGGGAATGGGTGAGAAAATGACTAGGAAAATAGATATACAACAGAGAAGAGCTAATGCAAGGCTCAAACAAGACGGGAAGGGAATGAGAGACCATCATGAGCTTTGATATTGGTGCCAACATCATAAGATCTTTAAAAAGGCATCTTTCCTGCTATGATGTTATGAAACTGTTTTAACAGCTGCCTTTGATTTCAAGTTTTCTCTTATCTGAAGGATTATAAATCCCTGCCAGATATAAGCTTTCTAATAAAGGCAGCACTCTTTCCACACAAGGAATAGCCTCAAATAGTACTTACTGTCCCACAGGGTACCAGCGATGCTTTGTTGTGTAAAACATTTTACTAAGCTGCTCAATAGTGGGGCCTTTCTTGTCTTTGAGCTCCTCTTCTTCCAGTCTTGATTTCAGCACCTGATCGTGCGTTTCCTCTTTGTAATCCAAAGGATCTCCCCGGGGAATAGGCTGACAAAGAGTAATGACCCAAATAAACAAATAATGACAAAGAAAAACTTAGCATATTGTATTTCTTTGAAGACAAGTTCACAGGACACTTATCACAAGTCCGGAATCTGATACTGCAAACCATTTCACTACAGATTAAGGCCAGAATCCTACTGGAACTACACGTTCGTATGGAAATACCTGCACACATGATTTGCTGATGCAGCCAATTGTTTTACAAATGTGAACACAATCTCTCCCTTTATTTATAGGTGGAGAGCTACTGTGCAACGGGCGACAAATTCTGTTTGTTATTGAGTGCACATTTGGAGAAAACTTAATGTCTTTCTTACTAGGAGTGCTTGAGAATGGGGTACTAGAATGCACACTGGAAATGGATATCACAAAAAAACCCCTACACAAAACAAGAAGTGTTGGTTACACCTTAGCCCCCAGCTCACTGAAATTCTCACTGCCAGAAAATATTCCCTAACTCACAAAATGCATTTTCTTATGCAGTGCATAAGAAATGAGCAACATTACTGATTAAAATATATGTGTGTTTTTGAGTTTGTTTTAATCATATTCACACTAAGGGTTAACTCCCAAGAACTTATACTTGGAGAATGTCCCAAGCTCTAGCTATGCTTCTTCAATTAGATAAAGAGGATACCATTCTTCAGGCTAAGGACCTAATCAGATGGCTGCTGGGATCCGTTTTCATGTGTTGTGGAAACAGAGCCCCCCAGGAGTCCCACCGAGGACATCACATGACATAAGGGCACTTGTGGTGGGGCTCCATGGAGCTCTGTTTCAGCAGCACATGGAAACGGAATCTAGCAGCCATCTTCAGGAGTTGGGTGATACCCGACTCCTAGCATTAGCAAGTAGGAGAAAGCGGGGGAACGGCACGGGAAGCATGTAGGATGGCTGGCCATCCCAGAATAGGGCGAAAGACAGGAGGGAACAGGTTAAGATGATTCCCTCTGCTTCCCCCTGCTCTGCCTGATGAAGTCTTTACTTACCTGCGTGTGCTCATAAGGAATGTCCACCGCTGGATGGTAGAAAACAACTGTCTTCCTATCTGATGTCAAAGCCAGTTCCACTTTGCTAAAACATAAAACACCCATTAATATATTCTGCCATATGGAAGAGATATGTCATTGGAAAATATATTCTCTTCTAAAAAAAATAGTTTTTTTTTTAAAAAAATTAAATAGTTTTTTATTAGTTTTCTTATCTACAATCAATTTGAAAGGAAAAATAGGTAAAGTTAGAACTGGGAATAGACATGGGTATCTAACACACAAAGGGTCTAAGTAAGGCAAGATATTCTCTCTGTCTGTCTGTCTGTCTGTCTGTCTGTCTCTCTCTCTCTCTATATATATATATATATATATAGAGAGAGAAGGAAAACATGGAAAAATTACTAAGGATTTGGGGAAGGTAGTTAAGAAGTGAGAAAAAAGATATGGGTAAAAAAAAGGAAAAGGGAATTTCCAATCTTCTTCACAATGGTATTTCTATCCCAGTCTTAATTATTTATTTTATTTTGCTATTCCCTTCTTCTTTTGTTTCCTGGGTACAAGTTCTCTTATATTCTTCAAATTGATTCTATTATCAGTTTTGTTTCTTCTTTTCTCATATAATCTCTTACTACAGACAAGTCCGTTGTTTTTCTATGTCCTTCTGTATGTTTGTTTAGTAATTGGGTTAAATTGTCCATGGAGATTATGTCCACTATTTTAGACATCCATTGTTCATGAGAATGGATTTCTTTTGTTCTCCAGTGATGAGCAGAATTTATTCTGACCACCATCAGCAGATAATTCAATAACCTATCTTCTCTCCTGACGTTTCACCTGCATCTATGGCAAGCATCCTCAGAGATATCCTCACTACCTCTAAGGATGCTTGCCATAGATGTAGGCAAAACGTCAAGAGAGAAAGCCTCTAGAACATGGCCATATAGCTCAAAAAAACCTACAACAACCCAGTGATTCCAGCCATGAAAGCCTTCGACAATCTATCTTTGTTTTTTTCCAATTCTGTATCTATAATTCCCAATATATAATGTTCTGGTTTTAGTGGGAAAATACATTCTCTTTTAATTTATTCTCATATGAAATAGTATGAATATGAAAACATCAAGGTCAGATAATATGGCAATCGACAAGACTTTTCTTTTTGGTATTTCTTTGACTCCCCCCCCCCCCCCTGTGACAGTGAGAGGAATTCATAGGGAGCAGGAAGCAAGCTTGTTTTCTGCTGTCCTGGAGACTAGGATGCGGAACAATGGGCTTCAAACTACAGGAAAGGACATTCCACCTAAACATTAGGAGAGAACTTCCTGACTGTGAGAGCCGTTCAGCAGTGGAACTCTCTGCCCCCGGAGTGTGGTGGAGGCTCCTTCTTTGGAAGCTTTTAACAGAGGCTGGATGGCCATTTGTCAGGGGTGATTTGAATGCAATATTCCTGCTTCTTGGCAGGGGGTTGGACTGGATGGCCCATGAGGTCTCTTCCAACTCTTTGATTCTATGATTCTACATAAAGTCCATCTGTCCCGTTGGCTGTGCCTCAACTCTGGAACTCCCTGCCCAAGGAAGACAGAACGGCCTCCTCACTGTTGTCCTTCTGGCGGCAGGCCAAAACCTTTTTATTCAGACCGGTTTTAAAGATGAAGGTTTTTAAGATCAAGTCAGGGGGTGCTGTGGTTTTTAACTTTGAATATGTCATAATGGAATTGAACTGAATTTTAAAATTTTTATTTATATTTAATCTTGTTTTAATGTTTACATATTTGTATATTTTGAATTGTACGCTAAAGCTTTTATGTTAAGTTGCTTTGAGTCTCCCTTCAGGAGCGATAAAGCAGGATATAAATAAATAAATAATACAGACTGCTCATTTTTTGTTATCCTTTGAATGTGTAATATATCTTTATAAATTTCATAAACATTCTTCCACACTCAGTAAGTACTATTTCTCCCTGCACCATTACAACTCAAATGTGTTCTAACATATTATTTACCAGAAAGTTGTTATTCTTTTAAACATGGTTTAAATAAAATTTCTGGTTTTAAAAACTGTACTTCCTGAAATGTTGCATAATTAAACCATAAATGTAATGTAAGAAGGTATAGATCAGCGTTTCTCAACCTGGGGGTCGGGACCCCTGGAGGGGTCGCAAGGGGGTGTCAGAGGGGTCACCAAAGCCCATCAGAAAACATAGTATTTTCTGTTGGTCATAGGGATTCTTTGTGGGAAGTTTGCCCCAATTCTATTGTTTGTGGGGTTCAGAATGTTCTTTGTTTGTAGGTGAACTGTAAATCCCAGCAACTACAACTCCCAAATGTCAGGGTCTGTTTCCCTCAAACTCCACCAGTGTTCACATTTGGGCATATTGAGTATTTGTGCCACCTTTGGTCCAGAGCCATCATTGTTTGAGTTCACGGTGCTCTCTGGATGTAGGTGATCTATAACTCCAAAACTCAAGGTCACTGCCCACCAAACGCTTCCAATATTTTCTGTTGGTCATGGGAGTTCTGTATGCCAAGTTTGGTTCAATTCCATTGTTGGTGGGGTTCAGAATGCTCTTTGATTGTAGGTGAACTATAAATCCCAGCAACTACAACTCCCAAATGACAAAATCACCCACCCCCCCACCCCAACAGTATTCAAATTTGGCATATGGTATTTGTGCAAATTTGGTCCAGTGAATGAAATACATCTGCATCAGATATTTACATTATGATTCATAACAGTAGCAAAATTACAGTTATAGTAGCAACGAAAATAATGTGATGGTTGGGTGGTCACCACAACATGAGGGACTGTATTAAGGGGTCACGGCATTAGGAAGGTTCAGAACACTGTTTTGAATGGGACTGCCATATAATTAAGCATACATATTTTCCCCTCCCCTCTCCACCCAGTCCAGCTTAATACATACCAGTTATAGTCATCAGGAAGAGCTGAGTATGTAGATTTGAGACAAGCACAATTAACTGCACCTGAAAACAGAAGAACTCCAAGTAAGAATGATATAAGCTGTAAAAGATAGGTTTCCACCGGATGTGGGGGTGGAAAGGACTGAATCTCATTAATTATTCCAATTGATTAATTATAAATCATATTCATTAACCCCTCTGCCCCCAGAAAGGAAAGAGAAGAAAGAGATATAAAACTCCATAGAAATATTGGGCAAGCTTCTACGTTCTTAAGTCAAACAGGTTAACGTTCTGGACTAATTTATGTGGAAAGTAAGCACTGGCTGCAGGGGTGACCAAGGTCAGAATTTTCTCAATATTTTTGTCCCCAAATTTCCTTAAGAGGCTTTAAAATGCAGGAAGTGATTTCCAGGTCACTTCATGTTATAAATTAGACCTCAAAGGCAGTGGAGGAAGGACTAATGCCATTCCCTAACTTCAGACAGTTGCCTGTTTCTGTCCTACTGCGTGGGGAGATGATCCAAAATTATTATCCAAAAGTCAGTATATTTTTAAATGCTTGGATGTAAGGGGCTTGGGTCCTTTGCCAAAACACCATACATACATAGGCCTGCAGGGCTTACCAGGTATTGGACCATGCGTGGTGAGAGCTTTCAAACGCATCCAAACAGTACTGGATAAAGCTGTCGTTCTTGATGCTATAGCCATGGTGCTGACAAAAACAGGAGCCACTTCAAAATTGTGTTTGGAGGAAATAAGTATAATTCACTTTTCTGTTTGGGAGACAAGGCATTCATAAAACAGGTATTAAGTCTACAGCTTTACAAGATAACTGATTCAGTATTTAACAGTTATTCCAGGATGTTATCACACATTTAACTAAGAAAAGGCTTGAGAGCCTTACTCATTTGAGAATTAATTATCCTAACTCTGCTTAAGAAACTTCCTCTCCCCCCAATCAATAGGAGCCCCTGGTGGTGCAATGAGTTAAACCCTTGTGCCAGCAGGACTGCTGACCGAAAGGCTGATAGTTCAAATCTGGAGAGTGGGGTGAGCTCTCATCTGTCAGCTCCAGCTTCTCGTGCGGGGACATGAGAGAAGCCTCCCACAAGATGGTAAAACATCCGAGCATCCCTTGGCCAATGTCCTTGCAGACAGCCAATTCTCTCACACCAGAAGCAACTTGCAGTTTCTCAAGTCACCCCTGACATGGAAAAAAACCCCTCAATCAATAAGGCCATGGCTAATCAGGACAGGATTAAATTAAGTGGATGTCAAAGATGTATAAATACATCAGTTGTGAAAAAAACATGAGGCCCAGGCCCTGTACTTAAATACAGTTCCCAATTATACCAGATACCATGGCCAAAGGGCAGGGATGATTGAAAACACAGTCCAATACCTTGAGAACCACCATTTCCTTAACCTTAATATTAAAGCTGTTCTCCTTTCCTGCATTCCTGTCCAGACTGAACCAGAGGTTAAGATTAAAACAAAGATGGCGGAATCCTAAACTGAAACATTAATTAACACCAGGACGCAATGCAAAAGGCTTTACATTCCTCCCTTCATAAATAAAAGTTAACCCTTGTCCATTCATAGTGGCACATTTTAGTTTTTCAATAATGTTTTGTTGCAAAATTCAGACAGAACCAGTCTAACAGGATTGAAATTTTACAACAGTGTCATCAAAACAGCTGTAAACAATATGCCTAATGCTCAACCTGCACCATATGGGCTCTTGATGCCATATGGGGTTGTTGGGCTTGCCTACAGCAATTAAAAAGAAATGTTCAACCAGTAGGGACACATTTTCTGGTTTAATGTTTGGGTGCTATGAAACTTAAAAACAAAACAAAAGAAACCGATTCTGGACTCAATACTCCAATTGACGGGGATCACATTGTTTTAAAAACCTACAGAATGAAGGTCTCAGAAGGGTCCAAAAATACCTGACATTAAGGCACACAATTGTTGGTTATCCTAATTGCCATTGCTTTTTACAGAAATAAGATGCTGACACAGATCCACCATGGGTAGGCCCAAAACCAGATAAAAGGGCCTCCCTCCCCTTCACCCCAACAGCTACTGCCCTGGCTTGGAGGGAGAGAAGAGACAATATTTTCTGGATTGATTATATCAGCCAACACTGACCGTATAATCCAGTTTCAGTTGCATTATATGGCAGTAAAGATGAGGCCTTACTCTTTCCACACTGCAATCCCCTTTCCCTTTTATGTCATGTCTTAATAAGACTGTAAGCCTGTTTGTATACAGTGACAGTGTGGTGCAGAAGCTTGACTTGTGTCTGGAGAACAGGCGTTCGAATCCCCACTCAGCCATGGAAACCAAGGGAATAACACTATTTTTCATATCAGATAGTGCTGTCCATTCTAGTGTAAACTATCAATTACAGAGGCCCAGCATGGTATAATAGCTTGAATGTTGGACTAGGACTCAAATTAGCATTTGTACTCCAGCTCAACTACGGAAATGCACCGGGTGACCTTAAGCAAGTCACATTCTCTCAGCCTCAAAGTAAGGCACAACCCTTATTTATTTAGAATTTAGAACTTTTGTATCTTCGTGAGGGACTCAGAACGGCTACAAATAGCACCAGAAAACTATGATGAGGCTGCCTTAATGATACACAACAATAACAAACAGTGATGAACTTGCTGACCAAAAGGTTGACTATTCGAATCCAGGGAGTGGGGTGAGCTCCCACTGTTAGGCCCAGCTTCTGCCAACCTAGCAGTTTGAAAACATGCAAACGTGAGTAGATCAATAGGTTTTGTTGCAGGAAGCTAACAGCATTCCATGCAGTCATGCTAACCTTGGAGTTGTCTAGGGATAAAGCCAGCTCTTCGGCTTAGAAATAGAGATGATCACCACCCCCCAGAGTCACACACAACTAGACTTAATGTCAAGGGGAAACCTTTACCTTTCATAGTAATATTACCAATTACGACAAATTTATTTATTTATTTACAGTATTTATATTCCACCCTTCTCACCCCGCAGGAGACTCATGGCAAACATTCAATGCCATAGACACACAGCATATATAGACAGACACAGAAGCTACTTAACTTTCCAGCTTTCATGAGGGTATTCTGGCCACCAATGGAGCTGTCGCTTCACCGTCCATTTGTGACACTGGAGTACTTCCTCACTCTTTTGCTTGCTTGCTGGAGATTTTATAGCATCCTAAATTAGTTAAATTAGCCTCCCGCATAAGGTAAAGGTTGTCCCCTGACATTAAGTCCAGTCATGCCTGACTCTGGGATGTGGTGCTCATCTCCATTTCTAAGCCGAAGAGCCAGCGTTGTCCACAGACAAATCCAAGGTCATGTGGCCGGCATGACTGCATGGAGTGCCGTTACCTTCCCGCCGGAGCGGTACCTATTGATCTACTCACATTTGCATGTTTTTGAACTGCTAGGTTGGCAGAAGCTAGGGCTGACAGCGGAAGCTCACGCTGCTCCCCTGAATCGAACCTGTGACCTTTCGGTTAACAAGTTCAGCAGCTCAGCGCTTTAACACACTGCACCACCGGGGGCTCCCCGCATAAGCAGTACCTAAATTTCCTGCTTGACAGATGGAACTATCCTTCAGTCTGCAAAGGTCGACAGCAAGCTACACAATGGTCGGAAGCTCACTCCGACCCAGGCTGGCTTCGAACTCATGACCTTTTGGTCAGTAGTGATCTTAATGCAGCTGATTCCCAGCCAGCTGCGCCACAAAGAAATTGTAAATTTACTTGAGTAAATCCCATTAATTCAATGGGCCTACTCTACTTTATAGCACAGTTTGTCACCATTTTGTCTGCCATGGCTCAATGCTATGGGATTTTGCAAGATCTTTAGCCTTCTCTGCCAAGGAATGCTGGTGCCTCACCAAACTATAGCTCCCAGGATTCCTTAACATTAAGCCTGGGCTGCCAAAGGAGCGTCAAACCGCTTTCATTCCACAGTGCAGCTGCACCCTAGGCCTAGGAATTGATTTCTCGGCGCTTTGCTTCGTCCCCTTTGCCCCATCCTGCACGCTTTGTTGACAACAAACAAAAAGAAGGCGTGGAGGACTGAAAACAAGGAATTCTCCTCCAGTGTTTCCTGCCCAATCCTTTCCTCACGTCCAGACAGCCTTTCAGCCTCAACCAGGGATGGGCTGAACCCAGAAAAGGAAAAGGTGGAAGGAGAAGGTGCACACACTCACCGCACGGAGCCAATTCAGCGACGGAACCTGCTCGCCTGTCCGACCGGAACGGCTTCCCCCGCCCACTTCCGGTAATGAGCCACGCACTGTGCAAAGGACATTGGGGAACGTAGTCTCGGTTACAAGGCTCCCCTAGATGGCAATGGATACGAATTGGAGGAGGGCGGTGGCCAAGGCAGTCTCTCTTAAACTGTTCTTGTTGTAGGGAAATACGGTGAAGGTGCATCATTCTAAGGCAGGCCTGGACAAACTTGGGCCCTCCCTCCAGGTGTTTTGGCCTTCAACTCCCACCATTCCTAACAGCCTCAGGCCCTTTCCTTTCCCCCCTCAGCCGCTGTTGTAGAGTTCATGTACAACAGCTGGAGTTGTAGTTCATCTAATCCAGAGAGCATTGTGGACTCAAATGATGGATCTGGACCAAACTTGGCACAGATACTCAATATACCCAAATGTGAACACTGGTGGAGTTTGGGGAAAATAGACCTTGGCATTTGGGAGTTGTAGTTGCTAAGAAGGCAAAATGGTTGTCTGCTGAGACACTGGAAGTAGCCCAAGAAAGGAGGAAAGCAAAAGGAAACAGTGATAAGGGGAGATATGCCCAGTTAAATGCGCAATTCCAAAGGTTAGCCAGAAGAGATAAGGAACTATTTTTAAATAAGCAATGCATGGAAGTGGAAGAAGACAACAGAATAGGAAGGACAAGAGACCTCTTCCAGAAAATTAGAAACATTGGAGGTAAATTTCAGGCAAAAATTGGTATGATAAGAACAAAGATGGCAGGGACCTAACAGAAGCTGAAGAGATCAAGAGAAGGTGGCGAGACTATACAGAAGATCTGTATAGGAAGGGATAATAATATCGAGGATAGTTTTGACGGTGTGGTGAATGAATTAGAACCAGACATCCTGAGGAGTGAGGTTGAATGGGCCTTAAGAAGCATTGCTAACAACAAGGCAGCAGGAGACGACGGGATCCCAGATGAACTGTTTAAAATCTTAAAAGATGATGCTGTCAAGGTGATGCATGCCATATGCCAGCAAATATGGAAAACACAAGAATGGCCATCAGACTGGAAAAAATCAACTTATATCCCCATACCAAAAAAGGGAAATGCAAAGACTGCTCAAACTTCCGTACAGTGGCCCTTATTTCTCATGCCAGTAAGGTAATGCTCAAAATCCTGCAAGGAAGACTCCAGCAATACATGGAGCGAGAGTTGCCAGATGTTCAAGCTGGGTTTAGAAAAGGCAGAGGAACGAGAGACCAGATTGCCAATATCCGCTGGATAATGGAGAAAGGCAGGGAGTTTCAGAAAAACATCTATTTCTGATTCATTGACTATTCTAAAGCCTTTGACTGTGTGGATCATAATAAATTGTGGCAAGTTCTTGGTGGGATGGGCATACCAAGCCACCTTGTCTCTCTCCTGAGGAATCTGTACAAGGACCAAGTAGCAGCAGTAAGAACTGACCACGGAACAACAGACTGGTTCAAGATTGGGAAAGGCGTACGGCAAGGCTGCATCCTCTCACCCAACCTTTTTAACTTGTATGCAGAACACATCATGCGATGTGCGGGGCTTGGATGAATGCAAAGCTGGGGTGAAAATTGCTGGAAGAAACATTAACAACCTCAGATATGCAGATGACACAACTCTGATGGCCGAAAGCGAGGAGGAGCTGAGGAGCCTTCTAATCAAGGTGAAAGAAGAAAGCGCAAAAGCTGGGTTGCAGCTAAACATCAAAAAAACCAAGATTATGGCAACAAGAATGATTGACAACTGGAAATAGAGGGAGAAAACGTGGAGGCCGTGACAGACTTTGTATTTCTAGGTGCAAAGATTACTGCAGATGCAGACTGTGGCCAGGAAATCAGAAGACGCTTACTTCTTGGGAGGAGAGCAATGTCCAGTCTCTATAAAATAGTAAAGAGTAGAGACATCAGACTGGCAACAAAGATCCGCCTAGTCAAAGCCATGGTATTCCCTGTAGTAACCTACGGATGTGAGAGCTGGACCTTAGGGAAGGCTGAGCGAAGGAAGATCGATGCTTTTGAGCTGTGGTGTTGGAGGAAAGTTCTGAGAGTGCCTTGGACTGCGAGAAGATCCAACCAGTCCATCCTCCAGGAAATAAAGCCCGACTGCTCACTGGAGGGAAGGATACTAGAGACAAAGTAGAAGTACTTTGGCCACATCATGAGGAGACAGCAAAGCCTAGAGAAGACAATGATGCTGGGGAAAGTGGAAGGCAAAAGGAAGAGGGGCCGACCAAGGGCAAGATGGATGGATGGCCTTGAAGTGACTGGACTGACCTTGAAGGAGCTGGGGGTGGTGACGGCCGACAGGGAGCTCTGGCGTGGGCTGGTCCGTGAGGTCACGAAGAGTCGGAGACGACTGAACGAATGAACAACAACAACAATCAAAGAGCATTTTGAACCCCACCAACAATAGAACTGGGCCTCCCGTACAGAACCCCCATGGCCAACAAAAAAAATACTGTGTTTTCTGATGGTCTTTGGTGACCCCTCATGACCCCCAGTGGGGTCCCAACCCCCATGTTGAGAAACACTGCCCTAGCCGGTCTCAAGAAAGGACAGGTTGTATATAAGGAAATAAAGTCCTTGAGATAACATGGGCCTGAGTCATATAGTGCTTTATAGGTCATAACAAGCAGTTTGAATTGCACTCTGTGAATTGAAACAGCACTTTGAACTGAAACAAACAGGCGGTCAGTGGAGGTATTACAACAAAGGAGTTGTGTCCTCCTGTAGCCAGAGCTCCAGTCAGCAATCTGGCTGCCACTCTTTCAAAGGCAATCCCAGGTAAAGCAGATTACAACACTCTGAATAGAAGTCCACTCCAAAACCATATCACCAAAATCTGGCAGCAAATTGAGAAAACTTCATTTAAAGCTAACAAAACACTTGTTTTGAATGGGTTGCAGTGGCTTGCTGCTGGTTTCAATGACAAACCAGGGAACCTCTTTTCAACAAGAGGTCATCTGTTGCTACTGAATTTTGAGAACACATTGCAATAATAATAGTAATAATAATAATAATAATAATAATAATAATAATAATAACTACTATAACGATGCTATCTTGGATCTGCACGCATCATTCGAAAATACATCACACAGTCCTAGACGCTTGGAAAGTGATTGACTTGTGATTTTGTGATGTGAAATCCAACATATATATCTTGTTTGCTGTGACATACAGTGTTTTTGTGTCAGTAAAATAAAATAAAATAATAATAATAATAATAATATGTATAACCCACCCTATCTCAGCTGGTGGTTTCTAGCTGAGATAACATAGTGGCAAACATTCAATGCCAAAAACAACAAATAACAAATTAAACAGTGGGTGCAAATACTCCCTCCAGGGTACCACCATGGGTGACACTAGAATTTGTGAGACCCATGATGGGACCTTGGAGTGAAGATTTGCACCCAGACTCATTCAGATTGTCCAATCCTGCTGTATGTAATTGGGCACGGTTGACAACTGTAGACGAGCTAGAAAGTCATTGTATTGGGAACCCACCAATAATTTCAACATCAATCTAATACACAGACATTTCATGTGTAAAATATTTGCTGGCATGAGCACATGATAAACTGTGCTACATTGATGAGTGTTAGATTTCGTGGCTGCAGGTCCTTGCAGGCAGAGGTGGGAGATGGTAATCCTTACAAAAGTAAACAACCTTAAAATCTCGGTTTCTGATGGACCTGTTTTCCTATAGAGAATCCTAAATGCCATTCCAATGAGGTGGGCATTGTATGCAAAATCTTTGCAGGAAGAATGGCGAAGCAAGGAGAATTTGGTGTATTTGGAAAAGGGATTGGCAGATAATTTCACAACTTGTGACTGTTAAGGGCAAGGAGTTGAGTTACAGGAATAACTGCTGCTGTAGCTCTGAAAGGAATCTGCTTCAAGGTGGAGATCTTTTTATTCTCAGTGACAACTTCTCACTTAACTAGTTTGATCACAATTACGTAAAATTAGAAAAACATTTTTTAAAATTGTGGAGGCCTTTGGGAGAGGCTTAAAGTTAAATACCAGGGTAATTCCAGGAGTAATCTGTTAGTCTGAAATACTCATACAGTAATATGTTAAGGATCAGAGGTTTGAAAGTTACATTTTAGATAATTCCCATATTGGTGGAGTTGGGGAGGGAGAGACTCTATTATCTGAAAATAAACTTTTCAAAGCTCTTTTACATCATCAATTTTAGTAAATACCACAGTACCTTTTAATATTTATAGTACTACAGAAGCAGTGCTATAGTGCCTTTCCTCTGATTACCAGGATATAATCGTGATTTTGGGACAAGAACTAGTCATTACTTCTATTTGTAGACAGATTGTAGACCTCAAGTGCATATAACTGACAAATCTATATTAATGCAAATCAGTATGACCCTCTTCCTTCCACAAGTGAAATGTTGGGTTATGGTACTGAATTAGCAGTGATAGGATTATAAAGGTTTGCAAACTGCTGAAATGGCAATTAACAAGATTATAAATGTCAGTTATTAGTAGGAGACAATATTGTTCTTTGTCATGGAAAGAATAATTCAAGAACATTAGCACTTTGGTGGCAATTCATAAATTTATCCTGAAAAACTTTAATAAAATAAAAAAAATACAATTAGTTTTCATCAGAAGTAAGAAGTATTATCACAAATAATAAGAACATGTGTATATATGTATATGAGAACATGTGTATAGACACACCTGATTAATGAACTTTGAAGTGTTGATTAAACAAACTACTGAATTGTAGTCTCCCAATTCTAGACACTGGTGTCTAGAATTGTGATAAAGTAGTTTAAGACACAGTCATAATACATGTGTTAATTAGGTTTCAGTGCAATGAATTTAATGCTACTATGACACAGTCATGTTTAAAAACATCATCATTGCCTATATATTCACTGACTTTATTTCTTACAACCTAGATCATTCTCTCTCTATATATATATGTAAATAACCCCATGTACCAGATTCATCAGTTTTAATAGCAAGGAATTCTCTTTATGTAGTTTATTTTGCTTTTGACTATAACTAAATGAATAATTCGAAGTTATTTCAGATGC